CCCCGCCATGCTCACGATTAATTAAGATTTAAAACAAATGTTTTATATGTTGCAGTTTAATGTCAGGTGATTTAGAGACAAGTTCTGAAAATCAGGGTGTTCAGTTTTTCTGACGAAGATCTGAATTACATCAGCAAAACTCATCTGTGTATAAAATATTGATGCACGCGTCTATGTGACGTATATTTTGGTGTACATGTGATCAATTTATATATACATACACATGTATAAACATATAGATACAGGTATGTATGAGGTTAAACATCAGTATGAGAGACAATCATGTGTTTATGCACACGTAGATTTCTGCACACGCATGCAGATTCCTTTTCTCTCATTCACACACAGTGCTTGACCCCATGACGTCTTCTAGCACTGCTACTTGCTGCCATATTGTTGTTGTAGAAGACTATCATACACTGGTTTTCAGCAGCAGTTGAACAAATAACTCAATTTTAACTATAATACTACACTTCTCACCCAGTCACTGCAGCTTTTGTGTTGCCCTAAGGAAATGTAACTAATAAATATAGTTACAAAATATTCATGTTGTGCAACATCCTAAAACATGATTGTAGCAATTAAGAATTTGTCCACTGAAAGCTTTATAATTAAAATATTCTACTTGTTTGAAGCTATACTACAGAACATTTAAATCACACTTAGATACACACCATTTAAAGATAAAACATTTATAGAGATTTCAAGTATGCTCTGTGACAAGAGGTGCCCATCAGAGAATAAGGCTTGAGCAGGAAATCGTACATGGGAGGTAAGATATTAACCCCAAATATTTGGAGGAAACCCCTAACATTGACATTGCTACTCATAGGGTAATATTTGAGATCTATTTGTGTTTGAGATTGCATGTAAAACCTAAAAAATTTAAAAGATGATGGCTATAATCCATAAGCATTTGTCTATAGATTTATATTATTTAAAATACTTGAATGAGGGCCAGCAAACTAGCTCAGTGGACTAAGCACCTGCTTAGGCAAGTGCAGGGACCAGGGTTCAATTCCCCAAACACAATGCTGCATTGGTCCTGTCCCCGAGCATGGTGGGGACACAATGCTTCACTGGTCCTTTCCCCGAGCATGGGGGGGGCAGGCTTGTGATCCCAGTACTGGGGAGGCTGAAAACAGGAGGATCACTACAAGTCTGAGATGCATAGTGAGACCCTATACCAAATGCATTAAAAATAAATAAATTAATTAGTTAATTAAAATACTTGTATGTTTCAAGCAAACTTCACAAACATAGTGACATTACTTTTTTGAGGGGTGAGGGCAAATGGAAGGAAAAAGAAAATGAGAAAAGAAGGTACAATGGGAATAAAGTTCTGTAAACAACAAGTGAAAGAGGTGGAATGAAGGGGAGGGGTCGGGAAGAGAAGAGGGAACAGGACGTGTCACGTACAGGTTCAGAGTCCCCGCGATGGATGTGATCAATATTACCTTTGAACGTACCGATGAACTTGATAAAAATATTACTGGAGTTAAGTCCTCGTGTGGGTAAAGATAAGAGTACAAGTCATTCGTGATCATCAACTATGAACACTTTACGTCTTCAAAGTACACATTTGGAGGATAATTATGAATTGTATCAGTCACTTTTTGTGAGCATTATGTAGGTAATAATGATATTGAGATCCTTAACTTCAAGGTAACTAGTAATTATTTTTTCAATTTAATAATCATTAGGATTCAGAATAATATCATTTATTTGAGTCCCTTCAGTCAGTACTACTGGGTAATGTTTTTTAGACTAATAGTTCTTTTAACATGACTCATACTATTTCTTTTCATTTTTGTAAAGGCCTAGACACTGTGCTAGACTGGCTGATGCTGCCTTACTTGTAAAGGAGTTGTCACTTCCCTAGGGGACCCGGAGCTACTCAAGAGAGGCAGATTTAGAGCTTCCACGCAGAGAAGTAAGGGCAGGCACTACTGCTGCTGCTGTTGTTGTTGTTATTTTGTCTTCAGCAGAAATGCTGTTATCATAAAGCTGTAGGGCTGGCCAGCTTTTGGAAGGTCCACTTCATGATCCATACTCCAGTATTTCCTGCTCTGATTCTGTACCTTCTAAGAGCTACTGTTTTCTGACCCCGTTTCATTTCTCTTACTAAAGAAAAGTTAACAAGTTTACTGAAGAAAGGCGGTGTGTCCATTACTGTGTGTAGATGTCACCAGTGTATGCAATGTAAAAGGGTTTCTTTGTAATTTGTCGATCTAGTGTGTTTCATTGTGTTCAATTTAAAACGTTGGCACGTTCTGCAAAGCCTTCCAGGGTTGTTTTCTCCCAGAAGCAGTACTATTTCATGTGTGCATTTATGTCTACAGCTCAACTGCATTGATCTCTACATACCCTGTGAGCTTGGGATTAAGGTTTAGTTCTCCCATTTGGGTTTCCAGTCGGCCTGCCATGGTGAGGTGAAAAGCCTGACCCCCTCCAGGGCACTGCAGTGGCTTGGCTGTGAATCTGGCGTCTGACGAGTGGGGTTGGGACTTCTCCTTGGTGCTGTTGCCTCTTTAATTTGGCTAACAGCAGTCAAGCCCTGCCTTAGTGACTACGGCGTTAGGGTCAGATGCAGCCATCTGTGGTGTATAGATCCCAGGTTCTGTTCATGCTGAACACCGTCTTGGATGTTCCTGGCCCAGACAAACACATGAGCGTCTGTCTCAGACACAGACACTTACAAGCTTCTTTGCTGGTTCCGAATCCCGGGCAAGGAAGAGAGCCACTTCCCGGAACTTTCTAGCAGTTTTCCGAGTGCCTGTGAGGGCTGCAGAAGTCTGTCTCCTGATCAAATCGAGCCATTCTGCAAAAGGCATTGTGGAGACCAGCTCACCCCGAACATGGACGAGCGAGTCTTGCCCAGAGACGACATAATGTCTGATAATACCCTGTGGGATTTGTTTTTATTTCCTCTGAATTATAATCTAATCTTAGTGTTTTTTTATTCACTGTGAAGAAATACTGGATAAATTAGAAAAGCTGCTTTCTTAAAAGATCTTTCAAAATTCCTGGAGCTTTAATATCTACTTGTTGCAGTGTGATTATTAGACTTAAATTCTGTAGAAAATGAGTTTCCTATTAGTTTATTGGTTTTAAACTCATAAATCCCTTTCATTAAACATTTTTATTAAGATTTAGCTGTCTCATGAGCATCTGATATGCTATCGAACATTTGAGCTCACTGTGACCGACTAGTGTGTATTTTTTAAAGTATAAAACACAGTTGGAAGGAATGTTCTGTTTGTAGTTCAGCAAGGAAAGCTGGGATGATACTTGTGTTCCAGGGCTTGCACTCTGCGCCATAATCTGGGTGTGTCCAGGCCCCTTTGCGACTTCCTGCACAGTCTTAGTAGCAAAACATTTAAACACATTTCAAATAAATAGGCAGGAAAAGGCTGAAGCTGGAAGGAAGAAAGGGAAACCACAGTTCCTAGGAGATACACTGCGACAAGTCCAGAACAATCAGCTGCCCAGAAGATTGGAGAGGAGTCACAGGCTCCCTCATGTGACAGTCACGTTTGCAGGAGGAGCAGTTCCCATACCTCCCCTAGGGCAGACGGACTCACTATTGTACCTGTGGGACCTTAGCGTCTGCTCTCATCCAGCCGTCCCCAAGATCAGGGCACTCAGCGGGTGACAGGAACCGAAGAGAAAAAAAATTAAATGCCCAGAGAAGTTAGTAGGCACTGCAGGTGGGGTATGAGGGGTGTGGTCAGGGCAGGAGCAGATGGGGTGTGAGGGGGTGGAGTCAAGGACAGGAGCAGGTGGGGTGTGAGGGGGCGCGGTCAGGGCAGGAGCAGGTGGTGTGTGAGGGGCGGTGATCACAGACAAGCAAAGGCAGGGATGGCAGCGGAACTGTGAGCCAGGCAGGCTGGTGAGGCAGAAGCAGCAGCAGCAGGCCTCAGGCACCAGGGAGGCAGAGAGCACAGGTGCACACCTGGGCTGGGGCCCACTCTGCGCTCAGAGCCATCTTCTCAAGATCCTGCGCTCGCTAAAGCAAGCCTGGAGGAGGCCTCAGCCACTGTTCAAAGAGGGCGCCTGCCCCCTGGACCTGCCCCGGCCGGAGGGCTAAGCGTTGCCCAGCGACCCAGAGCAGAGGCCACAGTGAGGTAGCCCTCGCTTGCCTGACTTGCACAAGCATGGCTCCAGTGCCCGCACATTCGCTGCCTTTACCTGGTGGACCCGAAGGACGTGCTCAGTACGAAATCTGCCCCGAGCAGGACACTGGGATGTCTGCGGCGGTGGCCTGCACAGCCGGCCCGCACAGGCTCCCTGGGACCTCCTGCCTCTTGCTGCCTTTGGGCCACAGGGCCAGGTCCTGCCTGAGTGGGAAAAGAGGTCCTTACCGGTGCGGCCCTTGCACCTCGAAAGTGTGGGTCTGCTTTTCCATCTGGGAGTCGCTTCGATTTTCTCGTGTTCTTTTATCTGCAGTCTCTCAGTGGGCTTCAACCCGGGGTCCAGCCGCACAGCAGTCACAGGAGCTCGGCGGCCTCTGCACAGCCAAGACTGCAGTCCTATGGCTACGGTGCGAGGTGTGCGTGTGTGCATGTACGGGTGTGTGTGTGTGTGTGTGCATGAGAGAGAACGTGTGTGTCTCGGTGACGTTTTCTCTGCAGCTGGGCTTTCCACCCACGAGGAGCTCATGGACCAAGTGCTGTGCCTGAGGCCATGCCGATCCTCGGCACCAAGTTGGTTACACCTGCCAAGGCCCGCACTACGACCCTGTAGTGCAAGTAGCAGAAGAGGTCTGCCTGGGTTCACACGGCCTTCCTAGCTGTCCAGCACCTGCTTTCCTTTGCCCCTCTCCGCGCAGTTCCCCGCTGGCCTCTGGGCGCCACCTCACATGCAGCCCAGCATTCCCTGCTGGTTCCTGAGAACCATGCGTAGGTCGATACGAATTCATCAAAAGGGGTGGAAAAGTATGAAAGATCGCGGGTCTCCGACAGATGAGGTCATGGCTGTGTTCTCTGTTTCCTCCATAGGTCAGAGCTGCGGGGGCTTGGTCCAGGGCCCCAACGGCACGATCGAGAGCCCCGGCTTTCCTCACGGCTACCCCAACTACGCCAACTGCACGTGGATCATCGTCACCGGCGAGCGCAACCGGATCCAGCTGTCCTTCCTCAGCTTCGCGCTGGAGGAAGACTTCGACATCCTGTCGGTCTACGACGGGCAGCCGCAGCAGGGCAACCTCAAAGTGAGGTAAAGTACGGCCAGGCCGCAGCCCAGGCCTTCTGATTCGGGGTACACGTATGACAGGGCCAGGGCCTCATTATCAGGCAAAAGCAGGTTCCATGAAAGGTGTCAAGGATGGCTCATTTTGCTGGGCTTGAAAACTGCTTGAAGCCAGTCCCTGACTTCACTTGCGCGAATCTGTTTGCTTCAGCTCTTTAAAACAGCGAGCTCAAGGGAATTTGCATAAAGCTTTAAACCACATTGTTTTTAAGGGACTGTGGATTTTAGGGCAGAATCAACAAGATAAATGCAGGCTTACGGTTCACACAACCGCATAAGGAAGTTCCGTGTTGCCTGTGAATATATTGAGTCAGGAGAACACAAGAGTGGGTGGGAAGAACGCTAAAGAACTTTCCAATCTCTGCATAGCTCTGGAACTGAATAGTATATTCTCTTCAGCCTGGGTGTGTTCTTGTGATCCCTGATTCGTACCATAAAGAAATAAAAGTGCTTCCTGGGCTGAAGCTAAATTACATTTTTCATTTGTCAATAGAAAAAAAAGTATTATATATATATATATATATATATATATAGAGAGAGAGAGAGAGAGAAATATATATATATGTATATATATATACAAATATATACAAATGAAAGAGGGATATTCCTTTCAAAGAAGTCATATTTTTAAAAATATGGATAAGCATATTAAAATGCATTTATAGGGGCCGGGGAGATGGCTCAGTGGAATAAGCGCTTCCCTGGCAAGCACAAGGGTCTGAGTTCAATACCCGGTTCCGCAAAAAAAAAAATGCATTTATATAAGGCAAACAATGCCTTTACCCTGTGGTTTAAAATTTCTCTATTAGAGATTGTGCTCAGTATCTGGAAGTTTTTGCAGATACTGACAGTAGGCAGAAGCCGTGCTCCTTAGTGACGAGTGTTGGCGCTGAAGCTGGTGGAGCTACAAAGAATAGCACTTACTCACGGCTTTACGGAATTAAAATAACAATGTATTTTCAAGTACTTTCTTAACATGTATGTGTTTTTAAAATGTCAAACCTCTTCTATTTTGAGAGGGTCACCTGCAATATCTGCATTCCGTCGCAGAAGCGTTTTCCCACGTGTGGTAGATGTGTGGCCACTAAGCTTTCTGAGTCAGGTGGACCCCTCTTGTGTTTAGGGTTCGGGTTGACGCTCGGGTGTTTGAACAATCGTGTGCATGTGCTGTGCTTCCTCCTCAGTCCTGCTGCTCTAAGCTTCCGCGTTTGCTGGTTTTCTGTCACAAGCGCCGCCACTGGTGGGAACAGCAACGTGCGGCAATACCCGAGTGAACTAGCAAGCGCTGCAGGGTTATGGCCAAACTACACTGAAGAGTCCCCTTCATCTCAGTATCTGCAAAGCGACTCTAGATTTATATTATCTCTCCATTGAAAAGCACATCGTGAATATGTATTATTAAAAATATTTCTTCTTCCTTTTAATATTCCCATTTGCTACAATTCATTCACGTACAAGAAACTTGTGTGGCAGTTTGGATGGTCACTTGGCTTTCTCCAGTTCTTACCCCCTTAGGCTGACGTGGAGGTCACAGCTATGTCGGGGAGTCTCACCCCTAGGGCAGAGCTCTGTGGCCTGTTTCTTACTGTTGGAGGAGCAGCAAAGGGGGTGCTAAGGGGAGAGCCATCAGAACCCCCTGGCTGCTCCAGATCCGGAAGAGCAGGGCTCACTCGGGTGAGCTGAGGGAGACAGCGCGGGAGGAAGTCTGGGACCTCAGAGGCACTCGCTGGCCGAAGTGCTTCTGCAGATAGAGACCAGCAGGCTGCATTTCTGTCTGTGCTTGCTCGTAAATGAGACCGAAGCCTTCAGCCACACATTAATGTATAGTTTTCTTCATTTCTTCATGCCTTAAAAACCCGTCTGCTCACCCTCCTGTGGGTGCCCAGGAAGCACTGGGGCTGCCCTGGGCACCACATGAGCCAGCCCAACATTTGCAAAGATTACGGCAATGACTGCTAATGCTCAAAATAGAGGTGTGGGTAATGTGGTGAAAAATGCATGAGGAGCTATTTATTCTTTCCAAACGCATCAACTCTATGTGGACGAGGTGGCTGTGCATAGCATCCGGTTCTAATTAATTGGGAAGGGGAGGGCTCTGATGGTGTTTGTTTCCAGCGCCCCGGTGCTGTGCCTCAAAACAGTTATTTCACAAACACAGTTACCTAACGACACTTAAAGTAGCTCTGGAATCGCAAGACGGTCAGTTTGTTGTGCAAATTTGTGTAGGTTCTTCTGACCTGGGTCCAGAAAGTTGCTCCTTGGAGCTGCCAGGAGCTACTGTTGTTCCATTACTGCATGAAGGCTGTTGGTAGTGGCCAACGTAGGCACTCACTGAAGACAAGTATGGTGTGTTACACAGCTTGAGCAGTACGTTATGAAGAAATTTATTTTGTGTAGCTGCCAAAAGGAGTTTTCCTCCAGAAACTTAATCCCAACAAAAACACCTTAGAATTTGTAGTTGAGAATTACTGATTATTTCATTATGATTTGAACATTAATCAATTTACTTATCTGAAAAATATTGAAGTTGAATGCACAGTGTGTAGCATTAACCTCCTTAGTATTTTCCCCAACAAATACACCCGCACCCCTTATCGGATCTGTTCCCCATCAGCACATCGGCACCATTTAATGTGGGGCCCTCACGCACTGTTTCTCTTGTTATGTGGGAGAAAAAAAGAACCCTGAAATTAGAAATAAAAATGTGATAATTGGATTCTCTGAAATGAGATCCACAGCGGCTTGATGAGTTCCGTGAGCAATTATTGCTAATTATAAAATCCCTGACCTTCAGTGACAATGTCTGGCTTCTCCACTACCCAGTCTCAGTGTCATGAAACCTCACAATTCAGATCTTTCCACTCCCCTCTGTGGATGTGGCTCCTCCTCTGGCGAGGGTGGGCAAACTGTCCTGTGTGGTGACTGTTATCTAGCCCACGTTCTTTGAAGTACTACTTTTTTGTCACAAATCAGAGAGTAATTGAAGTTGACATCAATTTCCAGCTGTGCTAACATTATATCGAAGTTTGAAAATAAATCCCATTAGCAACTGAAAAAGCAAAGAAAAGTGAACCTGCAAAGGAAAATTGTATTCAAAACCATGCAGAAAATCAAGATACATTATTTCATGATTATTGTGAACTGTAGGCCGAGGGAAGTAGCTCTGGCAGTTACCGCAACTTTCTTGGCTCTCACTCTCATAAGGTGACCCACAATGTTCTGCACTGATGGTAATAGAGAGGTAGGACCATTGCAATCAGGGAGGCATGAGTATGTGTTGTTAAAACATTACAGTTTTCCATTTCTTCAGAATGGCAAGACTGTATCCGAACAAGCATTAAGGAAGAAGCCCACAGAATATTAATTACACCTGATGCCGCTTAGGGACGCATCTCGGTTGCACGGTGGTTGTGTCAGGACAGAGGTGTGCCCATGCCAACGGCTGCCGCCCCCCCCCCCACTGGCTCCGTAAGGTCCCCAGGGAGCCCCCGTGGATCCAGTCAGACCCACCCAAAGTGTCATGTGGTTTTCAGCTGCGCTGGGCGCATACGCCTCCAGTCAGGCTCCCGGACTGCTGGGGGGAGCACATGTCTAGCGCCGCGCTGCACTCCAGCCTCAAGCCAGTGCCACACACGGAGCCTGGAGCCTGGTGGCACCTGGATGGCCGTGAGCTCCAGGCTGCAAGCGTGACAGCGTGTCCAGCCAGCAAAGGCAGAAGCGGGGGACTACTCTACTTGCACATGGTAGGGTGCTGAAATGCAGCAATTGTCTTAGGTACAGTGTCTTCTAAGTTCGTTTTGTCACTATAAGATTTAAATTAGCAACTCACCAGCAAGCTCAGTAACGGGGGATGATTTTGAGGACTTGTTTGTCCTCTCCTTTAATGGGGCTATTGACATTTGTTGGGGGCGACAGAGATTCGGAAATTCCAAGATGAGCCCGGAGCCTAACCGTGGATCTAGAATGCTTTCCCCTCCTCGGGGATTTAGAATAACGCCTAGGCTGAAAGCAGCAGCTTGAACATGTTCACGCATCCGCTAAACTCTGTTTGATAAATAACATTACACTGTGGCAACACAAGTGCTAAAGGCATGCAGTGAAGCCATCAAGGGAAAGAACAAGGGCTTTGTCTGTCAGCCCATCAGCAAGTTGTATTAAATTCTCACCTAGCCTTCATCCTTGGTGGCGGTAGGCTGTACTGAAGCTGAGGATGACTTTCATACGTTGGTCGCTGCAAAGCAGCAAGCCCTGTTCACAGGAAGGGGGCAGCAGCATTCACGGGGCAGCTACTGCGCCCCGAGACTTCGCGCCGGAGGTGTGCCCTCCAGGAAAGGCAGGCGCTTTCAGCAACTTCGGGGGAGAAGGCCCGTGGCCGCGCGATTTGCAAAGTGATTCCACTTTCACCAGACAAAGTATATTTTGGATTTGGACCCTGAAAGTTAAAAATAGCAATAACATTTACAAAATTATTAATCTTCATTTTGGATAATACATTTAATATTCTAACAAAATACTAAAACTAAATTTTACCTTTCTAACTAATACAATTTAGGGATCATACGTGAATAAAAAAATTGACTTCTCTTTTGAAATTCAAAAACAACTGGAAATAATACTTATGTACCAGGTTTTCTTTATTTAAGGTATGCACTTCTAAAACTATAAGACAATGAGCTAAATAATTCTATTAAAAGCATGAAATATGAACAAAGATGACAAGTAAAAGAAATGCGTTAAAATAAGTATGATAAGAGAAAATTACAGGAAAAATTTTGTAAAATATTCCACCATTCTAAATAGCAAAATTTAGAAATTTTTAGAACTCAGAATTTTTGAGGACATAGGACAATTTTTTACATCCTGAATGTTAAATTTTGGCTACTTTTGATCAAATTTTTTCTCAAATTAAGAGCCTAGTATATATTCATCTTTCTATTATTGTCCTAGCTACTTCTCTGTGCAAGGAC